ACATCCTTCTCTAAACTTTACCTTTGGGTGGCTCACCAACGGGTGAGTCAAGTTGGAATGGCAACATCCTTGTCTAAATTTTGCCTTCGGGTGGCCCACAAAAGGGTGAGTGCACTTGGCATGGCGACTTCCTTCTCTAAATTTTACCCCTGCATTGCCGACAAAAGGGTTAGTCAACTCTAAACTTTACCCTCGGGTGGCTCACCAAAGGGTGAGTCAAGTTGGAATGGCCACTTCCTTCTCTAAATTTTGGCTCACCAAGGGTGAGTCAACTTGGAAGGGCAACTTCCTTCTCTAAATTTCATTCCTGCATGGCCCACAAAAGGGTGAGTCAACTTGGCATGGCCACTTCCTTCTCTAAATTTTACCCCTGCATTGCCTACAAAAGGGTGAGTCAAGTTGGAATGACCACTTCCTTCTCCAAAATTTACCCCTGCATTGCCCACAAAAAGGGGTGAGTCAAGTTGAAATGGCAACATCCTTCTCTAAATTTTACCCCTGCGTTGCCGACAAAAGGGTTAGTCAACTCTAAACTTTACCCCCGGGTGGCTCACCAAAGGGTGAGCCAACTTGGAAGGGCCACTTCCTTCTCTAAATTTTACCCCTGCATTGGCCACAAAAGGGTGAGTCAAGTTGGAATGGCCACTTCCTTCTCTACATTTTACCCTCGGGTGGCTCACCAAAGGGTGAGTCAGCTTGGAAGGGCAACTTCCTGCTCTAAATGTCACCCCTGCATGAGTGACTGAGTGAGTGAGTGAGTGCGTGCGTGAATGAGTGACTGATGGAATGAGTGAGAAAGTGACAAGTGAGTTTGAGGCAGCAAATCCGCGTGTACAGTTGAGGCATCTCATTCGCGTGTACAGTTGAGTCACTTTTCGCGTGTACAAACGAGGTGCCGACCCTTATGAAGTGATAAATCCTCATAGACGCTGATGCTTATGAAGCGATAAGCTGATGCTTACAAAGTGATAAATCATCATAGAAACTGATGCTTATACAGTGATATATCATCATAGAAGCTGATGAATATAAAGTTATAAATCATTATTAAAAAAACTGTATAAAGTGCTAAATCATCATAGAAGCTGATGCTTATGAAGTGATGAATCATCTTAGAAGCTGATGCTTATACAGTGATAAATCATCATAGAAGCTGATACTTATGAAGTCATAAGTCATCATTAAGCTGATGCTCCTCCCCACTCCGCCGCCCCGTCCCGTCTCCTCCCCAAGGCTCAAAGAGAAGAAGTCTGCACAGGGAGGCATTGGAGGCCTGAAACAATATGGAAGGAAGTGCTCGCAAACTCCTGGATGGACATTGTTCTGACATTCTTTGCTGTGTTGCTCATTTGTGCTTCGAATTCTGTTCAACAGTTCCCTCAATGTATATACAGTATATACAGTAGTTTCCTCCAAATTTCACCAACCCCCTCTGGTTTCTTCATCTGCTTGCTCCCCACACTCTGTCACAGCACACCCTACCGCCCTACCTGCACTGTCTAGCCAAGACCATGGCCACACGCACGTTGCCCAGTAACATCCGCGGGGCAGCGCCACTGGCTGGGCGTTCACTCAAGGCCTTGTGGGAAAAAAACACATGAACTGCTTCCAGACCGTAGACGCCTGTGGGCGATGAAAAAGGCCCCAGACTGTCTGAGAAAATCTTCACTCCGGGCGTTCGTATCAAGCAACAAATTGGGGTACCAAAGGCAAGCAAATCTGCATGTGTTTAGCACTCTGGTGACTCTTGGGCACCGAATTCTCAGTAACTTTCGACTTCAAAGGTGCAAGCCTTAGTTGAGGAGTATATACTCTGCTTCCAAACACAGTTGACAAGAAGTTTCAAAATTGGATTGGGAAGAAGACCTAATCCATTCACATTTTTCATATGTTCACCAATGGGTCTCCAGAGTCTCCAGTCTCAGTCGAGTCACCTGCCACCTGCGGGTCACCCGCACCGCCGTGCAAGCTGTTGGAGGTCGACCGAGGTAGGAATCGTCTGGAAAGAGCAGGTCTTCTCCCGAGACGTCGCAGGTTCCTGCGGTCTTCGAGGGATTTTCGAGGGTCGCAGGTTTCCAATGAACACCTTTGTAAACACAATTTGTAAAACATGGAACTGGAACATGACCAAAGGTTTTCCACGTCCATCTTGTTTGAGTTGGAGTGTGTGTGATGTTGGGACTGGATTTGATAGTGAATCCTGACAAACACTCGTGTACAATGGCAGATTTGCCATGATTTGCTTGCGACTTGCCGTTCAAAGGCCTTGCAATGCCACACGGGGAGTTCATCCAATGAGTCTAATGACCTCTGTACGACTCTCGGGGCATCATGTGCGAACTCTTCCCGACCGGTCACCCCTCCTTCGGGGAATTCCGCTCGGTCGAAAGGCACACTCTGCGGAGCTCGTATCAGCAGCTGAATGCTCTGGCTAAAGACATTCCAGATGTCCTGCACTGGATCCATCGCAACAAGGCTTCTTGAAGAGATCAACGCAAAAAAATCCAAGCGCACAAGGACAAGAAGGATACCTACTAGATCCTACTAGCAAGAGCTAGCAAGGCTAGCGGTTCCTCCGGCGGCACCGACCCATCGCTGGGGTGGAAGAATCGCAATGAGAAGCGGAGATCAACAAAGGTCGTCTCTCCACGGCCTGGTCAATCAATGAGTCACGTCTCATCTCAGGTGAAAACCAGGACCCCCGAAAAGTTGTTGACATTGCTGATTCCTTCCAACGTCTGTGTCTCTAAAAAGCTGCCTTCCAGATCACAGTGCGGATCTTCATGGACTTTCACCGCAAATAACGTTGGTTGAGGGATGATCTTTCCGCACCAATAAATCCATGAATTATATAGTGTGCTAGTTCAATTTTGTATTTAAGATCACATCAAAGCATCACTCTTTGGTCTGCTGCGTCTGGTGTCTTGCTGCGTCTGGTGTCTTGTCGTGATTCGTGATGGTGATTGCAGGGCCCCCATGATACTCATTATACTGGATCTTCTTTCACTTACACCCCAACTCGCAGTACCATACTGAAGGGCTGTTGGGTGGAAGTGAGAAACGCCTGCCATGTTCTGGGGTATGCCCACTTGAAGAGCAGTCTGTCTAAACAGCTTCGATATGTGGTCAGCAAGAGTCTTGACCGATGCATGAGGCCATGGCCCAAGGCAAACAATGTCATGAAGCAACAACCAATTAATATGCAAAAAGAACGCCAAAGTTTCTGTAAAGAGCGGCAAGGGCAAACGAGGTCAAACATTTATTGATTGAAGGAACAAGAAAAGCACTGTGAAAAAAGATACATACACTCAACGTGCACAAGATTTTCCAACCTCAACAATTCCTACCTATAGCGCTATAACCCAATTTTTTATTATTCATATTGTGCTGCAGTCCCAGAACCATCTGTTAATTGATCAATCATTCCAGAAATCATCCAAACCATTGACCAAGCTATATTAATATCCATCAAACATCCATCTCCCACGAATCGGCTTCATCTTCCACCTGTCAATGTCGGCAGCACGTCAAAGGCCAAGAGCCATCCTCCAGTGTCCTTGCTCGCCAGGGTGGGCTGCAGCCGCAGGCGGAAGTCACCTGACAGAAGAGGTGGAACCACTGGAGAGTCACACATTGGTTCCAAAGTCCACAGAGAAAAAGTCCTAGGAGTGAACGATATGATCATAATTGTTTGCGTTGAACAACGTCCGACAAACGCCTGAAGTGATTGAACAGAACATTGACCTTTGACAATTCGACACGTTTGACAGCAATTTCCGATGGATGTCCACGCGTTATTGGGAGGTCCATAGCATCCTTGGCTTGGTTTTGCTCCGTCCAAAAGACAATTCAGCGATCCGCCAGCGTCCTATGCCAAGGGTCCAACATCATCGGCCAGTTCCACTTCCCAAGAGCTCCTCTCCTCTGTCCATCCAGAGGCAGAAGTGACTTGCAGCTGTCCTCCAAACCACCAATGCATACCTCACGGCTTGTATTTGGTGACCTCTTGGAACAATCATCAAGCTTGCTGTTTCGAACGCTCAACATGATGCATTGGGTAGATGTATGATTTATTAGAGGGGTCAAACGAGGCTTTGCGACTTCAGGAAGAGACTTCAAGGAATCCAGGAAGGGCATACGGTATCATCATACAATATCATACATTCTTCCAAACGAAATCACAATACTCCAGCCATCACCAATGGGCTCCCGCATCCATTCTCGCCTGCATCATAGCCAAAGGGACCTCCAGCTTCTGGGCTCTCGATCTGCAAAACCGACTCGAAAGGGCTCCTGATATCGGGGCTCCCAAGAAAAGGAGCTGGGAAGCATATTCCTGTCAATTCCGGTGCACTTGAACAACTCGGACAGGCAAAGGCTCTAGCAGACTGAGTCGCTCATGTTGCTGTCCAAGCATCACAATCACTCGGCATGTTGGAATAGAACTGGACCTTGCCGCAAGAAGTCGGGTGTTCCCAGCTTCAATCCTTAGTAGGAAAGGGCATCGCTACTAGGGGCTCCTGGCCGTACTACTAGGAGCAAGAAGCTGCTAGGAGCAAAGAGCATCGCTACTAGGAGCAAGGATGCTACTAGTTACTAGGGGCTCCTGGCCGTACTACTAGGAACAAAAACGCTACTATGGGCTCCTGGCATCGCTACTAGGAGCAAGGACGCTACTGGGCTAGTATTACACAGATTCTCAGGTAGTGAGGTGCCACCCACTGTGAGTTGGTTTAGTTGAAGGATGATTCGGTGCCATCAGGGAGGATCTCCTGGGATCGACCAAATCTCATTGCACAACTCTGTGCCGCCCAGCAGCTGGTCACAGGAGAAAGTAAAATGCGGTGGTGAAGCAACTCGTATGGCGGCTAACCGCAGTGCTGTCGCCAGGGCAATCTGAACGCCTCCAACGGGCAAGAATAACATGAGGTACTACCATGATCTACCCTATCGAAGCGCAAGGCATCTGACCGCACTTCAACCAAGACCGCGCCTACCACGAATGACGTCAATTCCTAAGTACGGCAAATGGATTGACATTCATTCTTCCTGCTCCAAAGGTTCCACACAAAGGAAGGTGCTCTTTCAAAATGTAAGTGGCCTGTTCCAGCACTGGATGTGACAATGACTTGCTCTGAGATAGGCAAGTCTCTAATCGAGGGTAGGTGATGCCGACACCAATGGCGGCCCTTGCGCCTGCCGCATCTCAAAGCCGGCAACAATCTTCAAGTACGTTCCCATGCATCGAGACGTCACAAAAACACTCGACCGGAGCCTGGCTCATGGTGGTCCGGACAAAATGACCATCGGTCAGTGCTTTGACATGAGACTTGCCCACGAAAGTCGGGGCACAGTGGGTGGTGCTGAGATATGCTGAGATACCCTTTTTCTCACTGATTCCCACCACCTTTGGAGTCTGAGACCAAAAGCCAGCAATCTACGGGTCTCACAAAGGTGCTACGTGGATGCTTGTGTGAACAAGTCTGACAGAATGCCCTCTGGATCCCTTGAATTAGCCACCCTGGTCTCCGATTCGTCTGCCTTCCACGCTATAGCCTCTGAAAGGTGTTCGGTACACCAGCTCCTGCACTTGGGTAGCGGACACACAAAGGCGAGCGGCGAGTGTTCCCCAAAGGCGCATGGCACATGGTGGCTGGGCCCCACATCATCGTGCGGAAAGGCACAAGTGCGGCACGAGTGCTTCGGACTAGTCCCTACCCATCTCTCCATGAAAGCTACTAGGAGCAAAGGGCATCGCTACTAGGAGCAAGAATGCTACTAGGGGCTCCTGGCCATACTACTAGGAGCAAGGACGCTACTAGTAACAAAGGGCATCGCCACTAGGAGCAAGGACGCTACGAACTCAGCTCCTGGCTGTACTGCTAGCAACAAAAAGCCACTAGCCAGAAAAAGAATGCACATTCTTCTTCCATCTCCTCTATTCTCCTCTCTTTGTCTCTCTGATTCCACTCCATTTCATGTGGCCTCCCCTTAAGTCACGCTCTCGACCCAAAATCACTCCTTGAGGTCACGACCCACGGGTCGCGGACGATCATCTGCAGGGGCGTTGTGCAAGGCTAAGGCCGAGGTGGTCCCAAAGGTACCATCTGCAAGCAGCACAGCCTCAACTTGTCAACTACTGGGCCAGCTTGGCTACAGTCTGTCACAAACGATGACACAGCGAGACATACCAGCTTACCGGCGTCACATAGTGGCACTTCAAGTGGGAAGATAGCAAATGCAAATCACTTGGGCAATTGGGTTGTGCATCTCCGAAAAGACTTACAAACTGAACCAGAATTGATGAGCCTGTCGAGTAATACATATAAGCAGTCACAGGATCCTCTACCTCACTCGTTGAGTGCTTTCCATTGCTCGTTTCTCATCCTTTAGACTTGCGGCGGTAGAGGAGTCTATTGGTTTGTCCAGGCATGTGCATGTTGAGTTCAATTGCAAACATTCAGATACACAGTCCTCTTCATTCTTCGGTAAAGGAAACAAATTATGTACGAAGCACACAACCAAGTATGGACATGTCTCCATAAACTGCCGTCTTGATTGCTGACTGAAAGCGATGCAAAAGGGACTAAACTCCTTTCTGCACACCAAGAAAACCTGTGATGGGTCCACAACTTGTTTCTGTGCGTCTAACCGGACTTCAACCAAGCTTGACCAAGCTGCAACATCAGAGGGACCCACTGTCATGCCTTTCGTCACCAACCAGGAGGTGTCAATGATCAACAGCCGGTCCTCAGGTTGCGCCATACTGCCCAAGCTACGAAAGCAAGCGCAGTCTGCAGTTCTCCAACGCTGGAAAGCTTTGTGTTCAGCTTTCACAAGTATCGTCACTTGTTCTTTGATTATTTTTATGTTTGCGCCATTTCGTTGAGGTGTGGAACAACTTGTCGAAATAAATGCCTTGGATAAGAAAAATTGCTCTTCGACACTGGGAGTGATTGCATGCCAGGCTGCATCAGTGCGCAGGATCTTGGAGCGCCCCGCGCCCGAGTTCGCTTGCCAAAGAGCAGCAGCAGCATCTCCTCAAAGTTTGGAGTTCTGGGCTCATCAAGCTGCGAAAAAGGCGTGAGGAATGGAAGGAATGGAATCCTCATCTACATCATTGCACTTCTTTGGGAATGGTCCGACCATACCCCGGTTTCTTTTTCTGTTGATAGCCATGGTATGACAGGACAGTCAAACTGTAGGATTCCTCCAATTCGGAATAGGATGGAATAGGATTGTGGGGTGAGCAATCATCCACAGGTCTCTGGTCTCTCCCATCCATCTCCACGTCCAGCTTCGGATCACGATCGCAGGTCCCACTCGCAGCACTTCGTCGCGCTCCGATGTCCTGAAATCGCTGAGTTCATCAACGGGCGCTTCAGCTCGCCGCGTCGAAAGGTTGCTTCCAAGGATTCAACGGAATCTTGTTTGGTACTTGTTTGGTACTATTCTTCAAAGAAGCACACCAACTTTTTGTTCATATGTTGTTGTTTGGTACTCAAACAGAAGTATTCTTCTTGGATGATACAAGCGGATGCAGCCGCACCCTCACAATTGCTGTTTGATGCTAGCTGATTTGGTCTAACAGTCGTCAATGCTTTCAGTCAGCTAGCTTTCCAACGCTAAACACATCAAAACACACTTTGATTGCAAGAGAGCACAGCCAATCTCATGAAGCAAACACCGTGGCTCATGCTACAAATGCAGCTGAGCAAAGAACCTGTTAAGCTCTGTGTCATTGGCGGCACTAGCCCACAGCTGGGCAAACCAGCCTGTTCACTGCACCGGCTGGCACAGGTCTGAATTTGAGTTAGCAGAGAGGGTCTTGGGAGCACCAACTGCTGACAGAAGCCAGGGCACTTGAGTATTCAATGCTAAACGTATTGAAGAAGCATGATGCTGCTGACCCACACGAATATAGTTGGAGGGGTCCAAAGAGCACTTTTCTTTTGGGGTTTCCGACGTGACATGGGACACTGACGCTTGCCACTTTGCACACTTAAGAATTAGCTTAATATTGGTTGATATCATTATATAATTTCCGACAATCCGTTTGAACCTCGTGCAGGGAGCAGGGACACGATCAACATGGGGCAATCCATAACACTCAAAGCTTTCAACACATCACCAGTATTAACAAGTCTCATTCGGGCGAGACCGATTACCAAGCTGGCCATTCTTCGTTTCATGTTGGCAGCACCGGCAGACTTGTTTCTCAAGATTCGTCCCCCATTGTGAATGGCCGAATTCCCGATCTTGCCATATCTTGCCAAGTTGCCATTGTTATTGTTGCTGGAGAGATCCTTACTCCAAGACGTTCTTCCGAATCACAAGGAGTCAAATTAAACGTGTCTCGAAAAGGGAACCTCCCCATACACAGGGTGATAAACTTCCGTCTCATCTTATCTGCGTTCTGAAGGACTCGTGATGAATCTGAATGATTCTCCCAACTCGAGTATCTCTTGATTTGGCCATCAAGTATCTCCATTCTGCGCCATTCGGAGCTTCACTGCAAAGCTCGTTCCAGGCCTTGGCCGATAACCCTGACTGTAAAACTCATAATCGAAGATAGCATCTCATAGTCTCAGACAAACAGGCAACTGTTCGAATTCAAATTCTATACTTGGGATCCTGTAACGCCACTGCGATTCACCACATGCTTCCATGAACTGCAGGAAGTCCTCTTCATTCTCCATCAAATTCGACATCTAGGTCTCCAGCTGCCAAACAAAGTCCTCCGCAAGAACTCCCATAACCTGCAAGCCACGACTACTGGAGGTTCACAGAACTGGCGACACTTCCCACCCACAGATCATTGCCTGCCTGTGCCAAGCGCCCAATTGATGTACAGCTTTGTACAAAGGGCAATGGATCTTGGGATGTAGTGTCCAAGCAGTCGTCCTGAAGGCGAAAGGATTATACTTTTTGATCGTTTTGGATCTGAGATGAAAGTAGAGGCCAGGGTCCACAACTGTTTCTGACACCCAATGGTCTCTCCTAGTCATGTTTGGTATGCTATTAGGTTGGAGGCCATCGCTACAAGGTTGGAGGCCATGTCAAAACATGTGCACAAAAATCAACATCAATTGTTCTGGCCATGTTCTGTCCAGGCCTAGGCCTTGACGACCGCCCCCACTCTAGCGAAGGAGCACCCGCCTCAAATCTGTAAGAGACCGGGGCCATGATCTCCAAGAGGATTGATGAAAAAGCTGGGATGGAAACCTCAAAGGGGCATTGGCTTCATTCGTTGTCGACAACCACACACACACAGTGACACATCCCATAAACTTCTGATTACTGTATTTACCTGTTCCAGGAGAACACGATACTAGATTGGGATGATTTGGGAACATGTGCAGGCTTAGAGCTTTACATCATCTGAGAATTGCTGCCTTCAGTGTTTAGTTCTTGAGCATGTGTGCCCCATGAACCTACCTATGTCCCATGTGGCAATCTAGCTGCGTGACTTCTATTATGAAAATGCTGAAGTCACAGTGGAAACTCATGGTGAGAGGCATCTCAAGTTTTGAAAAGCAATAGCAAATGAGAACCAACATCACGCAGCCAATGATAAGCAAAGACACTGTGCCCAAGACTCTCAGAGAGATTGTAAGATTAGTGGCTGCGGCAATCACCACGTCCTGAACAAAGTCATGCAAACACTGCATGCAAAGCACCAAAACGAGTCCAAAAAAGAAACACAAAGCACAACAAACACGCATCACCGCGCATCACATGTCTCAGACGCATTGAGCTCAGGTCAGAATTTTTCTGAAGCCTATGCTGCATACCCTATGGACACGATTCCTGTTCTTGGGTTCCTGGAACGAAACGACATTGCTCACGGAGTCTCCGTGGAACATCCTCGAAGAGGTTTTGGCAAGGGACATCCTTTTTCTGTGGTTCCTCCTCACACTTGGAAGTGATATGAAGTGACGAAACACCCAAAGCACCCAAGGAAGTAGTATTTGGGAACGTACACCCCAACCCTTTCAGTGTTCTATCCTCCTTTACTTAGCACTTTGCTCCTCTGGATCGATCTCTGCGGTAAACATGGGCAAAGGTTCGAAGCTCAACCAGGACCTCAGGCTTCGGCGATCCCAAAGAGATCAGTCTGGGATACCGCCTCTCAAAGTCAGGGATACGGAGAGATCTTGACCGGTCTGAAGCACCTACATTTTCTTAGCTTTACTTGAAGGGCATTTGTCTCCTTCTTTGACGTCCTTGGTGGCAAAACGTGCTGAAAAATGGCTGTGCAAGGGATGGGTGCAACTAACTATATAATGCTGCATTACTACCTTGATCACAATTATATAGGTCCAAATATCTGCTGAGACATTCGCGTCCTCAGCGGGTTTTCAAGTGTGTGTGTGTGTGTGTGTGTGTGTGTGTGGGGCTCCTTGCTTCTTTTGTGCACTGTGAGATGACGAAAGCTTGCATTTGTATGTATTGGTGGACATTTGGGATAGGTGAATGGATAGATTTGTGGCGGTCCCGTACCCACATTCATGAAACCAATTGAACACGCCTTATAAGTGTGTCTAAAAATATACTGTATATATATAAATATGCACACACTACACCTTTAGTAGCATATAATTAGTTATCCTCGCAAAGCGACCAATGTGGCATACCGAAACATGTTGGTCACCTGCACTAGCTCGGGGCACCCTTGCCAAACATGGCAATGGTTCACCATAGTGTATCGTTCTTGTCCCTTGTGCCCCATACCCGCCTACTGTAGCGCCCACAATCTTGAACTCTTGAAATCCACTGCCACGCAACAAAACACTCAATGTCCCTTTCCTGCCGCAGGTTTCTTCGTTTCCAGTGGCAAAGACTGAAAGCGGAAGCGCCGAAACGAGCTTTTCCTCGAACTGTACGGAAGTCTATGATGCAACTATGGACAACTTGGAGAGACATGTTCCACACAGGACATGTCTGAGTGATTCTGGCAGATTTCATGGCAGGCTATTTTGTAAATCAAGTCACCTCTTGGGTTGTAGGATTCAGGCAGCAATGTAGCAGCAACATACCCTCCAGCACGGATTTCCACCAAGACCCTTCAGAGCCTTCAACGTATGCCCGCCCTTGCTGCTTTTAGATACTTTGTGATACTTCCAACTGTGACCAAATCCAAAGCGCTGCCTATGCTGACTCACTCTTCGGCCTCAGAAAGATTCCCGACTTGCTGTGTGCGCAGGCGTGCACAGGCGTGCGTGTATTCGTTAATGCCTTCAAAGTGATTTACAACTTAGAACAAATAAATTGTAGTTCTTTCTAAAGGGTGAACGGCTGAGAGCAGCGCGGCAATGGATAGACCTCGTTCGTCCTGCGAATCTAAACTAGCAAGCCAAGGGCCAAGGAAACCTTGATACACTTGGCTGGGTCATAAAGAACCTGGTACAGTAATATCGGGTGACACCTGCCTGGGGGAGATCGCGACATTATGGGAAAGAGATGAACATGGTGCTATTCGCCTGGCATCTGCGCGCTATCAGCAATTAGTTTCAACGAGGGTATCAGCATATCAACCTACAGGACTTGGGATTTGGGGACCAAGTTCTGTCCTCTTCGCAACTTCTTGCAAGGGCAATCATAGCCGGGTCCTCGACCAATCTCTGAAGATCTTTGGCGGTTGTTCTCTCGTCCTCTATATAGATTCCTCTAGGCTGCTTTCATGATATATATATATATAATAGGTACCAGGACCATTACATTCTATGGGTGTCCAATGAACTACCCCACACTACCTAAAGGCTTCCATTGGGCACCCCTTGGATGGTCCAGGTACGGTATATACTTAATTCACAACAATGCTGATTGCATCCATGTCTTGTTTACATGCTGTGCACAGGCATGGCCTTTGCTGGCGCCCCAAAGAATCGTAAAGCTGTTGCGACCTGGGTGTCTTGGAGATTCAATATTTTCGGAGTGCAATTTGAGGGTGATGAATCCGGATAAATGATGAACAACATCTTTTCATTCGCCTTGGCCTTTGCATCCTTGTCTACTGAGTCTACTGATCCCAATTACAAGAATGCTTGTCACTGACTCTTGCGCTTGCATGGATCTTCATATATCTTCATGCCAAGAACAGGCAACAAGGCCCCAAACAACGGCTGGGGGGGTATCGCAGCCATTGATGCAACGGCACAGAGTCTGACCTTGGGCGGCACAAGTTCGTCCGACAAAAGAATGCGGCCACGTTCGCAAAAAAAAGGCAACGGGGGCACGTGGAATCCTGCAAATAACTTGTTTCCTGTTCTTTGGAGAAATGACGAGACATGTCCAACTCAGCCTCCCCACACCAAGCACGTAGTCGCGCCGTTGTGCCCGCGGGAGCCCCATGGTACGCGAAGGGCGACTCGGAAAAGTGCTTGGCATAGCTATGCCCTGAAAGCTCCTGCGTGGCTTCCTTAAACACTCACACTGGCACATCAGTTGCCCTTCGAACGCAAACCTTGCAAGTTGAAGCAACAAGCATATGCAGCATCGTGTTTCTTCAGTCTGAGCAAGTACACGATCTGAGGGGTGGTGAAAGCAGCAACTGTCAGTACCCCTGTTGCATCAACAAGTCGAACGCACCAAGAAAAGCCCCTGGAAAAAATTGGGGCTCTCCTGGTCCTTCTGTCCCCTGAATTGTTGAAAGAATACTGTAGCATACCCCTTCCTGGATGCCATCTCCCCCTCCAATCAGGAAGTAGGTCGTGCAGCCGCTGTCCTTCACGGGGTCATGCAAGCCCTGACGCAAGTGTGCCAGTCTGCGGTAGCACCGCCACTCCTCGAATCTGTTGAGAAGTGCTTGGAAGATCTCGAAATCAATACGTCTTGCAAAAGGCAACATGACACGGTCAGCATGTGGGCATGTATTGTGCAACTATTTTGACATCTAAAATAGACGGGATATCTTTCCTGAGGAGCCACACCCAATTTTTAGATAGTAACAAGTGCCTCGCTAGTAGTAACAAGTGCCTCGCTAGTAGTAACAAGTGCCTTGCTAGTAGTAACAAGAAGCTAGATATTATCAACCGATCCCAGGCCTTTCAAAGAACGTCAAGCCAAGGTTCTGAACGGGCAAATTCCATGCAGGGGCCTGACGACAGCACTGCCACAGATCGATCTGTCAGAGCGTGTGCCCAGTGCTGTCAGGTGGCGCCACACGGCACAGTCGATGATGTACCACGTGTGGGATCCCAACTCCTTGAGCACTCGTGGGGGGCTGAAACTTGAGCTCGTCCCTCCATTTTTGGGCAATGCATATCCTCAGTCCTCACTCAGCCCACCCTGTGGCAATGTAATCAATGGAACACGGGCCCATTTTGGAGATTGCTTGTTGTATGTTGCTGTATGAGTTTTGGATACGTGCAATGAGAGATACATTGACATATTTTCAATACAGTCGCTGCTACGTCCGGTACGCACCCCAGCACCCCTGGTACTGGTCCTCGTGTCCACGGATGACAATCTCCAACATGGGCTGGACCTGCGGGAAGCTGCAGCATGCCAATTTTTACCTAGACGTTGTCCATGAGAGGTTATCACCAAACGGGTCCCACGGGTGTGTATTTAGTAGGGAGACACCCAACCAATGGTCTTTAAGAGTTGTATCTGGGGTCGATCCCTAGCCTCAGCCGTGTGGCAGTCATGCTCACCATCTCATTTGTAAGCTTTACGGTCATGGACCTGCCCATCAAACCACCACATGGCAAGGGTAGCCCGTGGAGGCTTTGCCATTAAATGATCCTCGTATCCAACTGCTAACAGGCAAACACTTTTCGCCTAGTAGTCCAACACTTGGAAACCTTTTCCAAGCAACACTTGACACCTCGATATCAGAAGACTGGAGCAAGCAGTATGGCAGCCCTTGGCTTCGATAACACAATCAAAGCTGGGGTGTCAAGCTGCCCGGTCTTGCCGAATGCGGGAAGGACCATGTCCATTCTCAACCGACCATCCACTGGGCCTCGATGATAGCATGCCAACAGTCTCCTAATCCTCGTTTGTCGGACATATCATATCATTCAAATAACGGTGTAACCTGAAAGATCGCGCTTACAAATCCATTCGCAAGCCAGGTGGTCTCGATACACTTCCTGACCCCTATCCGAATTAGGTGACTCAACCAATGCTCTATAACTCACTTTGACTTGAATGCACCGGCACAGGTTCGTGGCCATAGAGCCGAATTCACATGCAATTTGTATACACACGTGGACACTCATTGCACGTGTACAGCATACTTCACACAGTCATGTTCGTCATCTGAAAGTAAACACTTTCAACTCCCCAATACCGTGTACCCACCGCAATATATGACGAGGGGCCGGTTGTGGGAGGTGCTCATCAAACGGACGTCCGCAAGTCGTGCCACCCAACCAATTGGTTTTGGTCTATTTTCCTTCTTCCAGGTGCTCTTTGGGGGGTCTCCCTATTCTACTACGTAAATACCCGCAGAACACCACCACCATGCAATACTGATGCATTGTCACTACGGCACCATCATCTACAGTGAGGCACCACTGTCTCTTGCTCTAAAAACTTTACATCCACATCCTGCAGGACCACTGTACGTACGAGTACACACAAACACCCAAACTTGGCAACACGGGCTGTGGAATATGGGAGCACAATTTCAGTTTGGCTTTCTGTCCAATTCAAAAAATATTGACGATGCACCTTTTCACACCCAATTGTATGCGCCAAGATTTGACGGCAAGCAGCCCACCCAACATCAACTACGCCTACCCATTTACTACAGGAACCTGACAAAGGCATCCCCCAGTCATCCCTGATCACTGTTTCAATGCCAAGTCACCATGGCAACGCTGTTTCCAAAAAGTCATCCCCCAGTCACCCCCGGGAACCAACCCCAATGGAACGCTGATACCCAAACAAGGTTTGTCACCAAAGAAGCCGACCCAATGAGTGCAAAGATCAATGAGTGCAAAAACCAATGGAACGCTAATTCTGAAAGAGTGTGGGTTTGATTGATTTGCATCCGCTTACTCATCCGCTTCCTGCGTGTCAATCCCAATGGAACGCTGTAGAAATTCTGCCACCAACTTTAGGCACATCAGGTGACTTGACTTGAGGTGACGGAGGTGGACGAACAGCAGCAGCGGCGGCGGCGGTAGCGGCAGCAGTGGCCTATGGTGGAGTCAAAGGTCTGCCCCCTACTCGAAAACAGCTAATCCGCGAGTAGTGGCCCGATGCGATCGGGTCACATCAGGGTCACATCAAGTTCCTGTTTACAAGGAGGCGCTTACAGATTTTTATCGATTGAAAGAACGTTTGGGTTTTGCATCAAAAAATCCAACTACAGCGTGGAAGTAGCCGAGCAGTGGCAGCAGCACACAAGCAGCAGCACACGAACAGCAGCAGCAGGAGGATGATGGCTCTGGGTGAGATCTGGGCGAGATCCAGGCGAGGTCCAAAACTGCACACCCCCGACCAAAACGATGCCAAGCCTAGACAGTGGCAGAAAAGCGGTACCACCAAAGCGCGCACCTCTGCCTACACTGGAAATAAGAACCCCACTAGCTCTCCCAGTAGCTCTCGCTATCTTGGCGTAATCTGTCCAAGTCCACAGGTGTTCCATTGCGAACTGCACTGGCAAGCCTGGAAATGACTGTGTTGCTTGCTGTACTTGTCTCGCATGTGTGTGAAAAGTTCCTTGTGGACTGCTTGCAGGACCCACTACAGAATAAGAAATTCATTGCTTCAGCAGGCATTATCAAAACATCTTTCGATGAGAGCCCCAGCATACAACCTAAAAGTAGGTCCCTTTCCAACCAACAGAGTTCGCTTGTGTTTGGGAAAAAGAGACGACTTTCCGCAGAGCCTTCCCCCCAAGGCAGGGTAGCAATCACCAAAAAAAAAGTGACGACGTTGTCTTTTGCCTGTAGTGTGAAGCCACTACCCCTCGTGGGCCATGTGGCCTCATTCGGCCGGAAGTTCGGCCTCCTCTTTGGCCCTCGTCAAATGCTTGCCACTCCAGAGAGCACCACTGTCCGCAAGCATTCCGAAGTTGCTCAGGTACTCCTTGGTAGCGGCATAAGAATCATGCCCAAATACTTCCAATATGTTGCGATTGCAGGACAAAAACTTACTGGTAACAACTGCTGTCAGGTGTGGGACCTTGAATCAAAACACTGGACATTTAATGAACTTGATAGGACATGAATCTAGAAAATAGAGGTGCTTAAAAATAAACACAATTCAAGCAGAGTCCCACTTGAACATAGTCAGCCGCGTTCACCCCTTGGATTCTTAAGTTGGGGGTGTTGGGAATAGAGGATACATTTATCGAGGTTGAGGCCATCCAGTCTCCTATACATTGGACTGCTTTCGACCATCAGAAAGAAACGAACAACACTTTGATGCTGAGAAGTACATGCAAGAGTGCGATTCAGTAGTATATATTTCAATGTATTTATTACAAAGTCACCTACAGAACTTGGGCTGAGACACTAGAAAATCGAACTTGAACAAATGTTGCTTCACAGTAGAGCCAGACTTTGAGGCCACCTATTTTGCCAGAGAAAATACACAAACAGGAATCCTTGGACAAAACTACTCCATTGGATTCATAAACTGTCCTATCTGTTCCTATGGACCAACATGGACCAACCAGGTTAATCCAGGTGACCACCGCACAAAATTCACAACATTTCTCGGTCTTTCCAGCCCAAGCCGTTGAGTCCTTTTGTCCAAGGCGCTGGACTGCACGAGCGGAGTTCCTCCGAAGTCGCTTGTGCCAAAGCCTTCTCTGCGAGACTGCACCGTGCCGCCGCCTGGACATAGAGATTTCTGAGCTTTCACCATTACAATTCTAATGGATCATCCGTGTGACTGGTCAAAACAGTGGAAAACGGAAGTTTTAGTTGATAGATGGTCCACAAAAACAGCTCCTGGTTCCCTTTTCCTTGGAAGAAAGCCATCCTATCGTTGGACCCATGGTGCCTCAGCCTCCTCTTTGTTGGGCCCGGGCGGCGCCTCGCGCACGAGCGAACTTCGGCACGACACTCGAGCGTCGGTGTCAAGAGCTTCCATGCACTACTACTAGTGGCTTCTTGTTACTAGTGGCTTCTTGTTACTATAGAAATGCCCTTTGCTCCTAGCTTCTTGCTCCTAGTAGCGATGCCGGGGTCCAGGGGAGGTCCGGAAGAACTTTGCATTTCGGGGATGGACAAACGGATGCGTCTTCTTCTTTGTCTTCGGGGTTCGGGTCATCAAGTTGGCCGCCCCCAAACAAACAGCTCAGCTATGGGCGATATACCCTGTTTATATAGATAAGAGATTGATCACTCAACAGGCATTCTTATGATCCCCTGCAAGTCTTAAGTGATCCATTGCGTCAGAAATTGACAGGGAGCATCCAGCCTGCTCCATTTCAGTGAAGCCCAGCTTCTTCTGCTTTGCAGACACAGAAGCTCTGACATCAGCACTCTTCCCATTCCTCTTGCCCTCTGGCATGGTGGACTAAGAGCGCACCGACCTTGCTACTGCATGCTACTGCTAGAGTCACAGGCCACCTGGGATGTTTAAGTTTATTCACTGCAAACACATATCGAGGGTTGGCTGAGTATAAGTGGAAGTCAACTTGGGTGTACAGCCTCCCAAAAGGCGTAGGCAATGTTAGAAACGAACAAATTTCATCTCAAACCTGAAGTGGTTCCATGTTGCATGCTTAACACTCGGAGTCAATATGGATCAACGTCTGTACACCATCGTACCTTTCTTTCTACCTGCGAGCGAATCTGGGCCCAACGGCGGCGCACAGGAGTACCATGAGTGCAGCAACCGGCGCTCGTCAGCGTCATGTGGAGCGGCTTCTGCCGAGTTGCTAAGCGAATTGATTTTATGTTGTGCAACAAGACACACAGTTGCATTGAGGTGTATGGACCATCGTGAGAATTAGCTGAGACATATGCCGGTTGCATGGTCGTATTACCAAGTTCAATCAAGTGATAGCAAGTCTAAGCTTGCCACAAATTCTAGTTCAAATCATCAAGCCTGAGCCCTTCTGCGTCCTGTCGGTAGTAGCTTCTTACCTCTTTACCTACCTGGGCTTAACAAAAAACCCTTGCCAAAGCTTACATCTAAGTTCAGGGCAGGCGGTTTGAGTTCAGGACAAGTCCCGAAGTGGCCTGTGCCAACATCTGTCGTATGGGCCAGGCGCAAGAGTCGTCTAGATGCTCCTGGAACTCTTGCAACCAAAACTGTACGAGAGATCAGTATTCAAAAAGCGCAAGGATCGTAGTGGTCTCATATACACATTCTGTCGCATACTTATACTTACAGTATTACAAAGTGTCTGAATCCCCTCACTTCTTACCGCTCACAAGTTTTGCAACACGAGCCACCCATCAGCTCCCAACTAGGACTCTGGCATCCATGGTCTCCACCAGCCAGCCTCTCATGTGACCAAGGAAAACATAAGCTTCTTGTAAAGAAGGTTGGTCACCAGCACAAAGGTATGCTTTTTTCCCCAACATTCGTGAAGCAAAATGCTATTCTTAAAAGTCTCGAAGACACGTCCTGAGACAGCGAAATCGCACGTTCTGACAGTGAGTTGTTAGGTCAATTGGAACTTGAATGACTCCGCTCAACCATAGAGGCTAGCAAAAAAAGGCGGAGAACAAACCACTGAGCTTCGTACGATTGTAGTCTTTGTCCTTCTCATCCAGATCCTAGCATTTCAATATCCGTGTCTCCTCTCAATATCTCTCAAAGGCCAGTTTCTTTGTTACCCCCAGCAGTACCCCCAGCAATGTCCTGTTGGTGCAGATCCGTCGGTATCCGTCGGTCCCGTCGGTCCTCGGGGTTCTGCAAGGTGAGCTTGAACTCTATGAGTTCTGACAGTTTTGTGTCCTTGAAGGAACGGAATGGGAACCCATGAACCAAACGGGAATGCAGGTGATGCCACGGAATCCCACGGATTCCAAAAGAAAAAGAGATAGGAGACTGAAAGGATGAAATGAAAGTGGGGTTCTAGACTGTTGGATTGATTTGTCCCAAATGTCGTATGTCCAAGAGGATTCTTTATGTTGCAGTTGCAACATCTAGATTCTTGAACCTCAAAGAAAATCCCCAAGGCTGAGATGAGAAACGCTCCCTAGGGCACGAAGAAATAGACTCCTCAACACGTCATCGAAATCACGGTGCCACTAATGTTTGATGAGTGGAGGTCGATTGAAAACGATGCCTCCAGCTCCAGCTGTTCACAATGGTCACTTGCCTGCAACCACTGCCATCATTGGTTCTAGGACCTGTCTAGGTCTGCAGATTGTCACAGGGATTTCTGGAAGTCTCTAAGGCGGATTCACTCCAAACCTCCTTCGTCGTATCAATAAACATCTGAAGGATACCACACTTATTGTCTTGAGATATCTAGAGGGATTAGTACGTCCCAGTGGGTACAATTAGATAGAGTTTGACTCTCAACAGGATGGTCATTGATCACGGTTGAGAAACATGAGCATAACCCCAAGAGTGTATAGGGTGACTCTTTTTTCGCAACATACGAACTGAGTCATTCATTTTCGGAGATCATCATGATGCCGTTGAAAACCTCAAGCCAATCGACCCCCAAATCTCACCCACTCTCAGGCCGATACCACTAGGACCCGCAACATCAGGACATCAACCTTTGAAGCCAATGAGGTAGATGCAGAATCTCATGATCAAAAGTGATACACTTCGCAGATTTTCGGTTTGGTCGCTGTTGCGACTGGACCCACTGGAAAACATGTCAAGGCGATCCCGGAGATCCATTCAAAACGCAGTGCTCACATGATCCACTCAGCAACAAGACGTGTGAAAAGTAATTAGACTATGCATCTGGATGCCTTGCTAAGTTTTATGTTGTACAAGACTAGGCTTCCGATATGCTGCCATCCACGTTGACTTCACCTATCTAATGGAGATTCACCAACGCACTTTCAGGAAAGAAGCAAGAGCATGATCCACCCAGGGCTTTGTTTCTCGATGAGTGCGGCAGGGCACCAGAACATCGGGCGCACCGCTTCCATACACTTCGGACCTCAAAGAGCAAACCCTTTCGGCGACAAGAGAGCTTGACTGGACCCTAGTAGCGATGCCAACCCTAAAGCGACATTCAAGAATCTGTTCCAAATAGACCATGGTTCGCAAGGAATATACAGCCAAAGATCTTCGCAATCAGTCTGAACCAAACACATCCAAAGACCCAGTACTCCACTCAGTCTGAGCCACCAGCGCATTCAGCCTGGTGCGCAAGACTGCCTGAATGAAGCGATAGTTGGCAAAACTTGTCGTAGGCAATGGGTTTGAAATGGTTTGAATAGGATCTAAGTTGTCACTGTGTTTTCCATGGCTGGGGAACGCGGTTTGCAATCCCTTTCGAACGGAAAAAGTCCGCTGAGCTTCCCCGGCGCTAGCAGCGGCCAGTGCAGCAAAGTGCCTTGAGACCTCCAGGCAGGCGGAATTGCGGTGGAGCCACACGCAATGAGCCATAGTATCACACAAATACCATGCAATGCCGATCAGGAATCTTTTAAGTCCACATCGTCCACGGTACACATGCAAGCAAAGAGAAATGTCCAAGCAAAGCATTAATATGGCAAACAGTACCAACATGTACCAAACATCTCTCAAAGCTTTTCATCAATGTCCTGAGAACCCAGCACCCTGGAAATAGTTCACTTGATTCAACATGAAGCCTGGAGGACATGTGACCTCAGCGGCTGGCCGAAGTGGAGGTCTGGAAGATCGGCCGATCCGGCACCCAGACATGTTCCAACGATGCGATGACGTCCATGCGATGGGAACCATGTTCCATGCCTATGAAATTGTAAAGAAACATGCGATGCCCTGGGCCAATTATGCCACTTCCAAGATAGGTGGCGATGAAGTCCTCTATTTCGGCCGGGTGGAGTTGGGGAACCAGGTCTCAAAGCACACCCAGAAATGGCCACGGATTTGATCAACAAAAGACCCAAGATGACTACACATCCCATCTACATGCCTCCACCGACATATCCCGACTCCTAAGCAAAAACCTCTCTGCCTCTAGGGACCTGGCTCGAACCACACTGCCTGCCAGCAAGGGTACAGTCACTTGCATGCTGAGGGATAGCCTCAGCTGAAAAATGTCGCTGAGCCCCTCAGAAGACCAGGGGCTCCTGGCCTTACTACTAGGAGCAAGGACGCTAATAGATGCCAATAGGGGCTCCTGGCATCGCTACTAGGAACAAGAAGCTACTAGGAGCAAAGGGCATCACTGTTGGGGATGGACTCGAGTGGATTCATTCAGGCGGCAAATCCTAAAGCTTCACCCAAGGTATCTGAATCGATGAGCTCATCAGCAAGTGGAGATTCGAGTCTTTTGGAAGACCGATTAAACCGAACCACTATAGCAAACTTTATTGCGGCCAACATGTCCGTCCAGAATAGGCAACGTTCAGTCTCGAACCCTCTCCGTATAAACCGAGCCTTCCTCCCATCGTTGCTGTTTGGCTTTTCTCCTCTTCCCTATCCTTTCCCTTTCCTTCTCTTTCTCCGGTTCCCTTCAAGTTCCCTTCCTTTCATTTGCATTCCTCCTCATCTTTTTCATTTGACTCTCTTCTTCAGGAGGTTTGCTCTGCTATTTTCCGTAAACAACCGAGCTTTGTTCTATTGAAACGGTTACGACGGCTACCACTCATGAGGCCTGGGCCCTCCATAGTATCTTATGCATGCCGGCTGCCAACCCTACGTGCCGCATTTCCTTTAGGCTCCTTTCATTGTCCTCTCAAATCAGCTTGGCATGGGATTGAGGAACTCGGGAAGTCTGATTGGATTCCAAATCTCAGTCAGTGCCCAAAATTTCTCATTGCCTCCCAACAAATGATGTTCTTTTGTCCCTGATTTAGGGGCAGGCCTCTCCTTTCAAACCTTCTAAACATTCTAGACTTCTATATATCGCTTTCTATGTTTCTTTTTGAAATCCAACCTTGGCATACCTGTTCAGCAAAGAACATCATGCACTTCATAGGAGAGTTTCACACTGCAGTCCCAAAAACATCTGAAGTGCATTCGGTCCAGGTGGCGTGTTTGATGCTCCGGCTTGCAAGTTGCTGGCAAAGGAATCTGCCTTAAATAACAAGCGAACGAACAAAGCACCACAAGCTCAGCGCTGGACATTCTACAGTGCTGGTGTCATTGGCGGGTTGGCGTGGAGTCTACATCTCAACTGTCCTTGTCATTTCACAGGTCTTGTGCACAATTCTTATGTGGGTTCCAAGTGAGGTAGTTTCAGTTCTTCGTTTCGTGGGTGACCCTTCTCGTCAAACAGTCTCACAATGTCTCACGATGTCTCACGATGTCTCGCGATGTCTCACGATGTCTCACGTCTCACCCGACTGGAGGAAACCATCTTCAAGAGCCCAGAAAGCTTAAGCTAGGCAAAACCTGGTGACCTCAGCAAAATCTAGGAGTTTATCGTTTTTCAATATATTTTTTCTTTTCCCAAGAACGGTTTCTTGCACGTCTTCTTGTTAAATGCCGGGCACTCAGGTCCCTGCAATCTGAATGGTGCCAAAGGCGCCCGGCCTCATCTTCGTCATTGACACTGGTTAAGAGACAAAGAAGTGGAGACCCCGTGTTTGTTTGTATACATAATGCCTTCCACCAAGCAGCCCTGGCGCTAAAAGGCGATCTCTAAACACCTTCCGTCTCGTCACGTCTCACAAAAACCTCACGTCGTACTGTTCTTCAAAGCTTCGCACGCAGCTCGGTGCTCTGTGCTTCATGGCAGCTCAACGGGGTGAACAATCCCCTCGGAGCTGTCACCAAGGACACCATGCTTTACTGAACGGACCGTGATGGACCGACTGAGCAGGGGGCCCTGGAACTCCCAACGCGTAGTCCATGATTTCGGGGGGCAAGCCCGTGCGGCTTCGCTGTAAGGCCACCTAGCAATCCAAGCAATACATCCCACAAAAAACGACTAGAAGCCGCATGTTCTTTCCTACACTTCATGCAGCCATTCATTGGTCAACACCTGAAGCCTACCAGATGCAAGCCATGACAAATTCAACTGCATGCAGGTGCCGATGTAAAAGCCAAGCCCTGCAAACATTTTCGGTATGCATCCTCCAGGTATGAAAAGCCAAGGAAGCGATCGACATGTAAAATAAACGGAACATGATGCAGTATTAAACACATATTGTCACATATAGTATATATAACCTCAGGAAACCATTCCCGTTTCGGGGGTCACGCATAGCGACGCGCAGAAGCGCTTTCACCACAGTAGCGCTTTTTCGCCGCCTCCCATCGGCTTTCTCTGGCCGCGTAGGGCGGATCCGGGACTGTGAAGTTGGCGACGTACAACGTCACCTGGTCCTTGATGGAGGTGTCCAGCCTGAGAAACGGATTATCCACCTGATATCCGGATATCCATCAATATCGATGATATCCGCCTGATTAGTGATATCCGATATCCATTGGATATCATGGGCGTATATCTTTAAACGATTCTTTACGTCTTTGACGAACAATTATGATTCGATGCTACAACTTTCACGGAGAAGCAGATATTTCTTATGTCTATCACTTTACTCGCAGTTGTTTCAGAGCCAACAGCATTCAACTGCAAACATCTGGGCTGTGTCAAGAAGAAGATCAGTCGCTGGTCAGCTGATGGCTAGGTGGCTGACAAGACTGCAAAAAGTGTGAGCTCATTGAACCTCGCATGTTTCAATCAAGTCAGATTCCGTTTTACCATGTTTTACCCTCAAAGCAGGCCGCATGTAGAAAGGGGGCAACTCCACATCCCAAATCATGTGTTCTTGAATTGGCCCAACAGCTTGTCTTTCTTCGATTTTCATGAACCCGTGCACAAGGCGACAGAACGGCGACGAGTAGTAAAATGATCCCAAGAAAATTGCGGCATGTCACCCTACAGCCTCTATCAAAAGATACGACCCACAAGGACTTTCACTGTAGAGCACTTTGTGCTTTCCGCAGCTCAGGATCATGCTGGCCCTGACATTGCGGCTCACCCGCAAAGACGAAGGTGGGATCCTCTCAAAAGCACCAACAAGCAACAAGCTTGGGGGGTTGTGGAGTGTCAGAACATGTGTCCCCCCACCAACAGGAAAACTGAGCAATCCAAGCAACAGTCAAATGAAGTGCCAGCAAGCTGCAAAGTGGAAATCCCCTGCACCCCCACAAGAATCAATACAAACAACCTGAAGCTTCAAGATCCTCAAGCATTTTAGCCCTGG